CGGCGCAGCACGACTGACCGGAAAAAAATAAATAAATAAATAATAATAATAAATCACAACCGCCTTAATGAAACCTCCGCCCTGACACCACCGTCGGCCTGAGTTACGAACGCCTTTTCGAACTCAGGCCCTGACACAGTCGCCGAAGGCCTGTTTTTCGTGCCTTTAGGAACTCAAAACATGCCGCGTCCGCCGTTGTTTCAAAAAAAAATCTCTGTTTCTTCGTCTTGTGCCTGCTTTACAGTGTTTACAACTCTACATGACTGCTAGTTGGATGTGCTTGTTGATTTGCTGCAAGACAGGTGCTCTGCTGCCTGAACTACAAAGTGCAAAGCAGGAAAGTGCCTGCCAACAGCCCCAGCCCCCCCCCCCCCCCCCCTTCCTCTCCCGTTTGTTCGTTTGTTTGTTTGTTTGTTTTTGGGTCTGAACGTTTTGCACCCTCTGACACCGGTCTGGACTGTCCGGGTGTCCGGTGATGTCAGGATCACCGGACAGTCCGGACCGGTCCAGACACTGGTTCCGAAGACAGTCCGGGAGTGTCCGGTGTCCGGCTCCGTGGTTACCATGTTTTTTTTTTTTTTTTTTGCACGCCCGGGTGCCTAGCCGGGCGTGAGAATCTTCCTAGGAAAAAGGTTTGTTTCTTCTTTTTTTGTTTGTTATTGACACACATACATATTGATTGATTCATTCATTCATTCATACAAAGAAAGAAAAGAAAAAGCGTGCGAATGCACGCAGGTGTGTGTGTTTGTATGCGTGGTACGGGGCTCCCGCGCCCATGCCGTGGCATGGTGCGTCGGAAGGTGTGCTTGTAAACAACACAGGGAAAGAGCCCGCAGCCCAGGATGCCCATAGAAAAGAATGCTTATAATGTCCAGCTTTAAAAGGCCATGACACAAACAGAGAAAAACATAAAACAAAAACCAAGCCAACCAGCGGCAAGACAAGTACAACAAGGCAAACAAGATGGCAAGCCAAAGGTCAAGACGCAGCACAGCACTTGGACGACAAGCCGCAGCAAAGAACAAAGGGTGGAGGGCATAGGGGAGGCGACGGGCAGACAATCAGCACTAGGCAGAAGAACAAGGCGCCGAAGGCGGCAACAAGTCAAGATGTAGCACTAGGGCGGTGAAGCAACACCACGGAACGTAGGCAGGAGGGCATGGGGGAGGCGGGTGGGCAGGCAAATATCAATAACTTAAAGCAAAAAAAAGAAACGGACGGGAAGTCAAGAAGCAGCAAGGCAACAAGACAACTAAGCAGACAAAAGAACAAGTAACAAAAAAAACACAAAGCAAAAATAATAAAACTCATGATAGATTCACTTTTTCAAAGTATTGATGCGCCGCAGCTGTTTCGTCAGAGTTGCACCGACTCATGAAGAGGCTGAATCCTTGAGGCTGAACCCTCGACAATCTGCAGAATCTCCATATTTGATGGTTTGGGTCATGAACCCTTTGACCCTTCTTGAAGGTAGACTGTCCCCCAAGCGGAACATAGCAGCAGGGAGCAACCCTCCAGCCTGAGAGCACCAGGCAACACAGTAGAGGCAACACGGCTGCACAATGGCAAAAGCAACTGCAAGGAGCGACATGGCACGCAGGACAAGCAGCACGACAACATTGTAGTGAAGCACAAAGCAACACAAGCAAAGCAACCACACTGCAAAGGACGGCAGGGCGAGCAGACCATCAGCTTGGCAATCGTGCAGCGAAGCACAAGGCAACAGCAACAAAGCAACCAACCTACACGGCACGCAAGCAACAAACACGGAACACACAGCCAGCGGATGGCAGCAAGGCAGCTGAGCAGCAAAGCGCAAGGCAACACCAACAACACGTCCACACCACACAGCGAACATAACAACTTGCAGTCATGCAGAAAACCACATGCGGAGCAAGCGGGACAGGCAGCAAGGTAGCAGCGGAGCGTAGATGAGGCAGTCCACGCATCCAACATGGAGCAAAGCGGCACATGACCTACTCACATCATATTGAACCCCCCAGACTGTTGGTTCTCACCACCCGCTGAGCCAGGGAGACACTCGCCATCACCCACAGGCAACACAGACATCCCGAACCGAACGGCCCCCCTAAGAGTGTTGTAGGCACTCCAAACAGGGAATGACTGACTGTTTGGCACAACTTAAAGGTGCTAAGTTGGGCACACAAAAAGTACTTAGAAAAAAACAGAGGGAAGACAAACGACAGGGGGAAGACAGACATACGTAAAGCTGAGTGTGTGGGGGGGGGGGGGGGGAAGGGGAACCCCTCCGGGCCCTTCCCCACCAATCAATCAATCAATCAATCAGTCAATCAATCAATCAATCAATCAATCAATCAATCAATCAATCAAACAAACAAACACAATTGATCAAGAACTTTATTTTTAGTTTTTTTTTTTAAATTGTTTTTTCACCCACAAACACCCTCCCAAAAAACTCGTTTTTTTATGTTTTTCTTTTTTCTAAGGGGTGGGGTCGGGGTTCCGGAACCCCAATCCGCAACTCCCACCCCCAGACCCCCCGCTTCTGGCCGCCACATGGTCGTGAAAGTCACGGCTGCCACGGTCATGACCGCAAGCCGCGGCCGTGACTGCGGCGACCGGTGGCCAGGGGAATACATAGATCGAGTCGTGTTTTTTGTTAGGCAATCTTAGTCATAGTATGCATATACAAAACTGTACTACACCACACTATGTGCAGTCACCGGGACTCTTTGTCTTCGACACACGGTGACGAACTGGTGGCTCGAAGTGGTGTGGAGTGTTCAAAGTGAATGGCAAACCTCAGGTGGACCCGCATGTGGTGCAGCTGTGAACTGCGGGCTTTTGGAGTTGCAAGCTGATCAACATCATACTTTAAGTAGTAGAGCATACTACGATGTACTACAGGGAGTTGGTTGCGCACTAAAGCGTACCACGGGGTTCGAGTGGCACACATGGGGAGAGTGGCGTAGTTCGGGATAGCGCGAGTGGCAAGGAGGGAGATAGGCATGCAGTCAGCAGTACCTATGGGGTGTATAAGCACTTCTTTAGCTGAGATGCCGAGGTCGTTGATGCTTTTCGGTTGCTCTCATTGGACCGAGTCTTTGAAGGGTGTCATTGGCGTGCATCAAACTATGGTGCATGGTTGCTGGCCAACTAGCAACTGGTTCTACAAGATGTGTGAGCTTTCCCATGTAAGCATTGTAAGGTAAAAACTTTAAGTGTCTATTCTGGTGTGAGTATGCATGTTTTTCCACTTCGATAGTGGTTTGATTGCCTGGCCTCCATCCCAGATTCCCTATTGCAAGATTTTCAGAATGTTGGTTGGCCTCCTTCCCACGATTCCAGCCCGGGATTGCGTGTATGTGAACGAGATGTGGGAAGCATCAGCTCAAAGTCTTTGCCACTCTATCTCTTCCCTTGTCATGATCATTGTTGTTCTACCTTTACTTCCACTGCAGATGTTTTGTGATAATTGCGGAAACATCTTTTCGCCTGGTTTCCCTATTTTGCCTTGGAAGAGTGGTCGTCATTCCCTGGCCTGCAATTGCCCACAGCTGGATGCAAACACTTTGCAAGGTGTGCATGCGGATCTCTGGCCGCAGCAGTTGGTTACCCAAGGCATCTTCCGCTCACGACGATTGAAGATGGAAACAGAGGGAGGGAAAGTGTGGCCGA